TATATATATATTCTTTCTTACTAGTTTTTACTTGAAAAATAGTTGAGTAGGCTGGGAAAACTCTTACTTGTCTGTTCTATAAGCTCTACTTTTTGCTTTTACATCTAAAGCTACCGAGTCACTGATTTCATTTATCAGTTCTTTCTCTAATCGCCGTAAAAGAACTACAGCTTCGTCAAATACAGTTCCCTCTATTTCTCCAATATTTTCCTTAACGTCGTTACCTTTGTCCGTGGCATTTTCCACAGCTTCGAATTGCTTCTTGAAGAAATGCAATTGCAAGAAGTGCTACACAAATGCGAGATTATGATAAATAATATGTAATTTGTGTATGATTGTAGATGAAAATATACGTACAACAGTCACCCCCCATTCTTCCAAAACGGTTGCAACATAATGTAGTGTATTGAGAATATGTGGCATAAGTGACGTTAATGGATCTTCATAATTTTCATGTAACAATTGTAATAATCGTACTCGCCAATCGTCAATCAATTCCAATTGCAATTCGAGAAATTGTAATCTTTAACAATATCAAATAAGTATTATCCCCTCTTGCTTATAATGATTTCGTATAATTTACCTATGTCCAGGCTGAGGTAAATGTTTGTATCTATCAGAAATAGTGGTAAGAAGCGTAAGAAAAGCGTCTGCACATTCTGTGACTTTCATATCATCTATATCAGGATTCAATCTTTCCCAAGCTGTATTTGAACTTAATATTGCATCCATTTTTTCAGTTGCATCTAAAATCATAATGTATCTGTTTGAGGTATATATATGAAATATACTACTTCTTCATATACTTACATTTTTTCTCCATGTTTATCCATTTTACAAAAATATGGGCTTGTGTAAGAACAAAAATAGTAGCTGGCTGAGTGTGAGGATACAATAGAGTTTCTCGCAACTCTCTTTCAAATCCTAAAGCTTCGTCTACTAAATGCGCAAATAAAGTGTCATCATATTGCACCATAGGCAATTCGGAATGAAGTTTTTCAACGGCTAATTGAACTAAAGCACGCATAAATTCCGCCTATATTATATAATTATTATAATTAGTGACTAGAAATGATATTAAGAGCCAATATCAATATTCAATTAATTGTTATATCAAACCTTTACATCTAAATGCCCGAAACCTATAGAATCTGCTACAGGTTGAACGTTTTTTTGTACCCATTGAACATGATCTTTGATCCATGTTAATATTTGTGTAAAAAACCATTCTGGCTTATCTTGACGATTTGTCAATTTAGCTCCTGTGAAATGATAAACAAATCTTTGTCGGAGCGGACGTACTAAGAAGGTGATTGGCAAACTAATTGGTGCAAAGTCTGTTAACAGCACAGAAGTTACTACCGGTTTAATCGTTTCGTCTCTGAATATATTAAGGACAATATGAAACAGTTTTGTTATGCGATTCACTTTTCGAATCTAAAACAATTAAATTATATAGTGTAAGGATACGGTAACTGCAGATGAAAGAGATATTCAATGAGTATCTTAAATCTTGTCATTGTTTCTGGTAAAGATGTGCTTGATGAAGTAGCATTGGTTCCACAAAAGGGCCATTTCAATATCTTCAATAAATCATTGTATTCCCTATAAATATTACATATTTAGGAGAAGTATATAGTATATGAATTATGTTTTGAATCTATGCAAGGAAGAAACATACTTTGACAATTTTTTCTTGATTATATTGTACCAAAAATGTAAAGTTTCATGAACATAATTGACCAGATGATGACATACAGACGTTTGCAATTGGCAACTGATGTTTGTTAAGGTTGTATATAGAGTTATCATTGACTGATCATCGCCAGATAACAAGGATACTTCTATTTCATGACTAAGTATAATACAACTAGTTAATAAAATAAAACACTTTATATATATCCAGGAAATGAAAGAGTTATTATGCCATTACTGTTACCATTACTTCTTATAACTTGACAATGATGTAGAAATAAAAAGTTACCTTCTTCAGTGTAATAAGTGACTTTTCCAATTCGTTAAAAGTAACATTTGATTTTTCTAAATCTGGTATTATCATAATGATTATAAAAAATTTGCAATGTCAAATTACAACAAAATCATGATAAAAAGTAATGCATACTTCCATTCCCTACATATGTCATCTTTTGACAGTTTATTACCTAATATTTTCTACATATCTTATGAAGTATAAATAGGATAATGATTTGTCCAGCTGACTTATCTTATCAACAACTTCTTGCAGCTCTAAATTTTTGTCATTTTCGTTAAATGTCTCTTTGATCATCTTATTAAGATCTAAACAAATTTCTTGTAATTGCTCAACTTCAAAGTTGACACATTCTACATTTTCAATTACTGCCTTTACCTTGGAAGGAGTAGTGGTCGATGCCATTGACAGCTGTAAGCAGAAAGCAATTGATATGTAATTTAGCTATGTTATATATGCTATTTTGTAAATAAATACCGACTGATTTTTCAATCTCATCCTTTTCTGCTTTGAGATGCTCTTCGAAATCGTAAATTCCTTCAAGATTTTTTAAAGTCGATCCTAATTGTTCATTAAACTTTTGTATAACTTTTTGTTTTATATCCATTATCTATTCTATAGGCTCCTGAGTTATTGAGTTAACTGAACTAAGTACTCAGCCATAGTATAAGTACATACACTATAGATACTGAATATCGGTACCTTTGATGTAGTGGATCCCAGGTCACATGACTCGCCGCCATGTTGTGGATTAAAAAGGCGCTTATAAATTTGAGTTTTTTTAAAGTTACAGAATGATTTAAAAAAAAAAAGACATAATTCGATC